AAAAAAAAAAAAAAGTAAGTTATTTTCTGGTTGTTGTTAGAGAGAGGAAAAACAAACTCCATTTTCAGAAGCCTGGAAAAACTTCATTCACTCTGACTCCAGGAAGATCCTGAAATTTAGGAAACGGGACCTGGGAGGTGATGCTGCTTTCCTCCAGGAGGGGGCGGTGCAGGACAAGCCTGAACCCACGTGCAGGCACAGTCCATCCTGAGGGCCAGAACCCTGCTGACTTCCTAGGCCACAGGCACTTGGGCCATTTTAAGGCACATCTCCTCCCCAGGACCAACCCAAGAAATTTATAATGGTAAAGATGTCTGAAGGATGGCCATGGACCTAGGCTCTAGCGAGTACCAACAGAGGACCCCAGGGCCCTCACAAAAGTAGCTGTGCACCAAGCCCACTGCACTCTGCCCTAGGACTTCTGGGAACCTGTCTTTGTCAACAAGGGATTTGTTGTAGAGCCCTATAAAACCTAAGAAATGCCACTGTGGGGCAGTAAACCTGAGTCAGGTACAACTGGGAAAGGTGCATGAGCTTTCTTAGTAAATCCCCCAATTTAGGAGGGATCCCATCTTCCTAGTAACACACAGAGGGACTGACCTGGAGTCAGGAGGAAGGGAACAGCCTTTCTGAACTCTACCAGCATCCTGCCTCGCAGGGCTCTCTGTAGTCCTTCCTTCTCCTAGTTGAGGGCAGACAGATTTCTGCTGCACAGAGAAGGCAGTAACCTGGAGGGCAGGACCTGAGCGGGGAGGGGCAATGTCTGGGCACTCAGTCTCTGAGATCTTTAAGTGCTGGGGAAAGAGTAGGTCAGGGTCAGTCTCTGTAGTCAGATGACCCTGACCATGCTCCTCCTTGGCTCCATCACTTTTAACTTATAGGAGGCAAGTAACTTTGCCCCTCTCTGGCTAAGTTTCATGATCTGAATAATGAGAATATTAATAGTAGGACCTCACAGAGTGGTTTGGATATCAAATGAAGTATGTGTGAAGTGTCTCCGGGGGAGGAGCATTCAGTAAGCACACTCCCCAGCACTAGTCACTGTTATTTTAGCTCACAAGGACAAAGTTTTAAACCAGGACCACACACAGGAAAATAGGCCTACTGACTTCTAGAAAGGGTGCCAAGAAGAGGGAGATTTCCCTGAGCCTTTCTCTCTCTGGCAAGGAGCCCAGGGCAAGGCAGAGAGAGTGAAGTTTAGAGAAGGGAAGAGTTCAGTCTAGGCTTAATCCTGGCAGGCTGGCAGAGGAAACGAAGGGGGTGTATGTGTCCACTTCCCCGAACCTCTGACCCACCTCACCTCTGATTGACTTCGTTAAAAGGCAGTCCCAGTGTAGAATAGTTAATAAAAAGCATGGTTGGTGACTGGCTATCTAGGTCAGGCAGCGTTAGGCTGTACCTACTCCAAGGGCAGTGCATCCAGGCTCCCCGGGACCACTTCTCACCTCCCCTCTCCCAGGGTTTCCCGGAGCCAAATCCATGGTTGTAGGAACAGAACTCTTCCTGACCTCCAGCCC